AAAAAAAAAAAAAAAAAAAAAACGAAACGAAAAACTAATAGCATTCAACTGTTTACAAGGAAGTTACTATTTACCAAAATGTAGGAGACAATATGGTAGCCAAATTGATATCAAAAAATGAAAGTTTTTGCATGATTGGTGTTTTTAAAACTTCATTCGCGCGCGTCGTGTTTGAACGTCAAGAAAGTATTCCCTAATATAAATCCTCCCATATGTTGTTCAATCGGTTTGTCCATCACTCTTCCCTACTCTTCAATCATGTTCCTAACTGTATTCAGCTGTTTTAAAGATTTTGACCCCCTCTCTTCTCGCCTTCAATCCAAGATGTCTTTTTAATTATACCGACTATGAATAAATACAATCCCTTAAGAACTGTAAACGACAAAGCTTCCTTTTTAAACTTCATTTCTAAAGCTAGAATCTCACGTCGATAGCAGTGTGAGTCATTCGTTTGTTCTGGCCAATGCGCCCTCATCACGATCGCGCGGAAATGTTTCTATTTTTTATTATCACCATTTTTTATTATTATTAATTTCTTATCGTTAATTTAATTTAAACTAAATGTTATTCTAAATAACGAAGATTTCGTCTGTAAAATTTCCGTTTTCAATTAGACATTGCGCATCAGGTTTGTGCTCTATGATACGTACACATATTAACAGCAGCTAATTAAAGTTCATAGTGAACTCAATATATGATTTTCCATATCTCAGAGGCTACGTTTTCCCTTTTCATTTTCTCTCTCTCTGTCTTAAGTTTTCTTCTTTCTTTCTTTTTCAATCAATTCTGTAAATAAATTTATGATTTCATAAAGGGTCACTTGGTTTGTAATCACAAACTGCAATAAATTATAAATTGCAACTAAAAGATGAAGGACAAACTGAATGAACACAGACTTTAGTGCGTGCTTTAGTATTTCGATTTTTTTTCTTTTTTTCATCACTCACTACAAGAGAATATGAAGTAATACTTAATATTCTCTTGTTCACTATAATTTCTTCCTTTCTTTTGTGATATCAAGAAGATTTTACTTTGATTTTTGATGGCACATGACTGTTATTTCGTGGTATCAAAAATATTATATTATTCATTTAATGTAACATGACTTTTTATGTAGTTTTTGATGATAAAGTTAAGCGATAAAATATTGCTAAATAACGTTACACGGCGATTGACGATTGCTTAACATTTTACCAGAAAAAATTCCAAGCACTACAACTAAGGGATTTTTATTAATTCATCCGCGTCGCTTAGGCCTTGTCCTTAAAACACAGCTCTGATGGAAAAAGAAGATAAAGAGTACGCACTGTCGGCTGCCATTGATAGCATCTACCTACGTTAAATATAGTGACTCTAAGTTATCATTTTTACCCAATCATTACATTAATCTGCCTTACCTTTAAGAGATGTACGTGAAGTATCGATGTCTTCTATACTGCTGGATCTTGCGAGGAAAATGTCCCGGTAGTCAGAAATAATTGGCTGTTTTCAGGCTACGGAAGTCAATACACGCTCTTCTTACACTCCTTGTGTAATCATTTACTGTCTTGGCCATTCTTTTCTCAGGATGTTATCTTGACAGGATCAAACACCGTATGTTCAAACAACAGTGTTAATTCTCCTTGTCAAACTTAGCATTTTTGTCGGCGTTCAGCTTGTTCAGACCAATGTGATTGGTTGAATGTCCTTTCATGTTGATTCAACTCTGAATTATCACGCACATGACGTACTCAATTGCTCTATTCTTGCGCACTTAGAAACAGGCAGCTTCTATAAACTAAAATCGATGAATTTCTACATCTCAGATTATATTGTGACCTCAAAAAAGCCTTTTCTATGCCGCGCGCATGTCAAACATCTCACTTGAGCCTCCCACATGGTTTGAGTGCCTACATGATGTTAGTGACAAAAAAGACAAACTGAAAATCGCTGTTCATAGCAAGGGGTTAATCATCTTTTGCAAGTAAGCTCACGATTGCCGATAGTTGGTGAAGTTTTTCTTTACAAGTCGGTGTAGAAATTCAAGTCCAAGATCTGAGATTCACAGTTCAAGATTCAAGGCTCAAGATTCTCAAGACTCAAGAATCAAGATTTCTGAAGTCGAGAGCTGGAGTTGTATCCTCCTCCCCCTGTTGGATTATTCCCTAGGTTTGTCCTACTTCGACAACCTAGGAATATTTCCTTCAAGGGCACTGATTATTAATATTTTGGTATATTATTTTTTGGTCAAATATGTTCTCTGTACATAGGCCAAATACATTAGAATTAGGGCTTCCACGTCAATTACAGAGGCTTAGACAGCCGGTTACCAGGGATGAAATTATTGCGGCCATTGGAAAAGTTCTTGGAAATGAATTGCGTACTGCCATAAAATGTGTTCAGGTGTCTAATACAGGTTATTCTTGTAGAGTAACGTTTAAGGAGGAATCTCATAGACAAAGGGAACAGTTATTTACGAAAGGAATCTATATTAGGGGCTGTTTTTGCTTTTTCAATGGGGTTGAATYACCTCAACAAGTTGTGACGGTTTCAAACCTCCCTTGTGAGGTGGAGGATGAYGACATCAAGGAATACTTTGAAAAATATGGGAGCGTAAATCAAGTGGTGAGAAATTTAGACAA